GGCACAAACTGAGCCGTTGCTTATTGATTTTGCCATCACCAACCGCTTTTGTACAGCAATGCTGTGTTATTTTCGTTTCAGGCAAGTAACTAATAAGGGAATGCTTTTCACTTAGAAGGGATATTCATAACAATTTTTACATTACAAAATTCTTTTACGACAAATCTCTCTTCGACATCTGCTAGATTTTTTTGGACGAATTTTGGTAAATATGCAAGAGATGAAAATGACAGCATCTCAACCTGCACAGGAAACCTACGAGGCAAGACACTGACCACTGCGTCAAATTGTGCACAAATCAGAGTTGCTCATCTTCAAGAAAACGAGCTCTTAAGATTGTCCAAAGCCGTTTGGCAGCTATGGAAGGGAGAAAGCCTTCCGCAAAGGAGTTTTGGACTTCTTACTATGGAGCTTGTTATGAATGCATTTCGAGTAAAGATTTCCTTGTAAGTGTTACAAATCCAGGAAATAAAGTGACGTCTTGACTTGGGCGACCCGATTGCGCAATATCATGCAGGAGGTATATGTGCAAATAATTGTACTGCTTTGATCGCTCCCACCCGGCCGCGACGACAGAATCGCAGCAAATCAAATCCGCATGAATGTTTAAGCTAAACGTTTATGAATAAGTGAAGAATGTTGGAGGAAGTTATTATAAAACTTAGAATGCTCAGCACCCATTCCGATGTTACACTTTAAAAACTGAAAATGACTGTTATGACTGTGTTAAGTGGCATGATTCACATGGCGTGATTTTTCCAAGAACTAACAATTGTGTTCATAGAGAAATTGGCGTAAAGAGCTTCTAGCTGTACGAAGTTTTGTACAAATTCAAGAATGGAAAACTTTTTTTTCACGAAGTTTAATGAAAGTTCGTTTGTAGAACGTATTGCGCAGTGGCCCCCTTCGTTATAACGATCAATTTGAAAAAGTGGACAGTAGTCTCTTAGGATAAAATAATTCGCAATTGGGGAGACTGCAGAACTTCGAAGCGCATCGCTTGAACTCTGCCGCAGTAATAGCGCTTACACGTACTAGTTAGTGCTCTGGTTATACTTTCAACTAAATCATCAGCATAAAAGGATATTTTCCTGACAAAACAAAATATCCAACTGCTGCGCTGCTACTTTTTGTAAAAGTTTGAACATCTGAAGATTTTTCACCTTTCCTGAGCCATTTTTGGTAAAGGAATACCTACAACTTCCTCCAAATTAACGATTGGTAGCTCAGACAGATGCGGAATCAATATTTCGAGTTGCTTTCCAACACATCGCTATTCGTATCGTCAGATCGACCAAGTACCTTTTCCTTATTAGATTAGATACACAAATACTGACATTCCAACAGATACGATCATTAACCTAGGAGACCACTCAAAATTGTACCCTTAGTTCTTTGAAGTGTTCAGGTGGTGCACTTTGTTCGAAATGATAGTTTAGAACTTCAAGTTAAACTGAGATAGACGCTAAATCTTTTGCATCCTTTATTTGATTTTTTCATACTTTCTTATAGGTGCATGATATCAACTTAATACGTGTATCTATATCGTATGAGCGTACGAACAAAAGTGTTGT